GCCAGCTGGCCTCCCCCACCGCAGCAGCAGGGAGGGCCCAGCTGCTGGAGCAGGCAGAAGGCGCCTCCCCCTCCCCCAGGCTGCTCCGGGGACCCCCAGGCCGCTCCGGGGACCCCCAGGCCCTTGCTGGGTTTGCTTCCCAGCCCCGTGTCCAAAGTCGCAGCAGACCACGTCTGGCAGCACCGAGGCTGAAACCAAAGGCCTTCCTGCCTCCCCCACCGCAGCAGCAGGGAGGGCCCAGCTGCTGGAGCAGGCAGAAGGCGCCTCCCCCTCCCCCAGGCTGCTCCGGGGACCCCCAGGCCGCTCCGGGGACCCCCAGGCCCTTGCTGGGTTTGCTTCCCAGCCCCGTGTCCAAAGTCGCAGCAGACCACGTCTGGCAGCACCGAGGCTGAAACCAAAGGCCTTCCTGGAGCGGACCCGGTTTAGCCAGCGGGCCGTGGCTCTGATCACACACAAGCCAGCGACTTCCCCCAGCCAGCTCCGCTGGGGCCAGCTGCGTGGCTTGCTGGCTGCTTCTGCCTCCACCCGGCACAGCCTCCCGCCAAGCAAACCCCTTTGCCCTCCAGCCCGGAGCAGACCCACCGGTGCAGCATTTGGGGTAAAGGCAACTCCTGTGCTTTGTACCACGCTGGGAACGGAGGAGCTGCAGCCAGACACCCAGGTTCAATAACATTAATAGGGAGCAGGTTTAAAACAGGCAAATGGGAGTTTTTTTCTAGCCCATGGACAGTCAACCCGTGGAACTCCTTGCCAGAGGATGTTGTGAACACCAGGACTTTAACAGGGTTCAGGAAAGTGCTAGATAAGTTCACGGAGCTTGGGTCCATCAATGGCCGTTAAACAGAGGCTAGGGCCACCCTCCCTGCCCAGCCTGGCTGTCAGGGCCTGGGACTGGGAGGGAATCACTGGATGGTTCTTTTGTTCCCTCCCTCTGGGGCACCCGGCATTGGCCCCTATGGGCAACCGGGACACCGGACTGGAGGGACCTTTGGTCTGACCCAGTGGGGCCGCTCTTATGTTCTTACCCCCCCTCGCAGCAGCATTTATCCGCGTGACACTTCTGTGCAGCAGGGCTGTGCTACTGTCTCCACCGTAGAGATGGGAAACTGAGGCACAGAGCCTAAGTGGTAGAAGCTCTATAGGAGTGGGATTCTCACTGCCCATGAGGGTCTGGGCCTGCCTGGAACCTCAGCGCACTTCTCATGCCCTAGGCTAGCTCCCTAACCATTGGGCACTCCTTCCTCTGCCGTGGGCTTGATTCCATGTTACTCCTTCAGTTACTCCTGTCCTCACCAGCCCATCTCGCCCCTGCAATTAACGAACATGCTGTCGGCCCTTCTAGAGTGAGGCAGGAGGCGGGGCCCCTCACCAAACACCTGCACCCCAAGGCAGCACAGCTGGGCGACCCTTTCCTGCCACACCCACCCCAACTCCAGCCTCTGTCCATGAGGGGCTATTGGCACAAGCAGCCTTGCGGCTGGTTCTCAGTGCGCCTGCGGAGGCTGGGGGTGTCTGATTTCTTCCATCACTTCACAAGGGGCAGGGGTTAATTAATAAACACTCATCAGCTAGGCCCTGTGGCTGAGCCGCACTTGCCTTGCTGTTCCCCCAGGCTGCTGCCCTTTTCCCAAGGGAGCTCAGGGTCTTGCTTTGCTCTGAGAACGGCCCCTCGATTTGCCAGTGGACCGCCTGCCACAGCAGGCGCGAGCTCGACACATCTCTCCCCTGCTTTGCTGTGGATTTTCAAAACTCCCTCTTGTTCGGCTTTCCTTTGCCCTGCCAGGCCCCGCGCTGGCACTGGCACCTGGGCCCCCAGCAGAGCCCCCCCAGCGACGCGCCAGGCTAGCTGCTGCTCGGTGCCAAGGGAGGTAGCGCGCTGAGCAGCCTCCCCCTCCAGCCGAGCTCCGAGCGGCTCCTGCCCGTGCATTTGCTCTCAGGGAGCAGGGGCCGTACCGTGCGTTCCTGCTACGCCCCTTCCTGCTGCAATCCCGCCCTCGCTTCCTTGTCCAGCTGCTGGGGGGGTCTTGGGCAAACCCCGTTCGGATGCTTCGTGAGCCTCAGGTGGCTCGTCCGCCCGCAGGGTGATCCTCAGGATAAGGCTGGCACCTGGCGCGCAGCGGGGGCAGGCCGGGCCCTGCTGCTTTGGACTGAGAGGCCAGGGATGAACTCTAAGGGGGAAAAGGTTCTGGGTCAGCTCCCAGGCTGGGAAGGGGCCGCCAGCCCTGGCCCCACTGCCATGAGCGCGCCCAGCCTCTGCAGCCCAAGCAAAATACTGAGAAAAACAATCGATCCTGCCAGATAGAACCTGCTAGCCCATTCCTGGGCTTCCCTCCCGGCCCAGCTCTGCCGGGGCAGCCGCCTGCTCCTCCAGCCCTGCGCTCTGCTCTGCCACCAGCCTGCAACTGAGTCACACGGCCCTGCCCTGCCCCTCAGGCCTGCCCTGTAGCCCCAGCGCTCCCAGGCCAGGGCCCTTCCCACCCCCGACCCTGCTGATGCCCCCACCTCCAAATTGCAGGCCCAGCTATGCCATCCCTGCTGCATGTCGAGGGGCAGCGAGTCCAGCCTAGGCCATGGCCTATGCCACCAAGCGCCGGGCTGGCTCCTGTAAGCTGGGAGCAGGGTCTGAGCTGCTCCTGGAAGGCAGCAGCCATGTGCCCTGGACACTGCCCAGGCCTGGAGCCAGAAGCGGCCCAGAGGGCGAAGGGCCCCACAGCAAGGCCACAAGGCGGAAGCTCAGCTGTTGGGAGGGAGGCCTGCCCGCTGGGCCGCTCTCAGCCACACGCACAACAGTGCCTGGGGCAACAAGGCCTTGCTGCTCCAGCTGCCTGGCCTGGCCCAGGAAGAGCAGCACTCTGGGTGGGCCTGTGGGTCAGTGCCCCACACGAAGCCAGGCTGGGCCCATGCAGCTGGGAGAGACCCTTGACTCGTGGCCAGGCTCCCAGCAGCAGGCACAGAGGTGACACTGCCTCACTGCGACCCAGCGTGGGGCACGGAGGCAGCTGGCGAAGCAGTGGGGGTGGGAGGGGAAGGGCTCTGGCCCAGGACACGCGAGCAGTGTGGGCCGGGGTGCGTCGGGGAGACAGGACCCACATGGGGCAGGCCCTGGCAGGGCTGGCCCCCCGGCGGGGGGGAAAGGGCCCAGCCGGCCCGGACACCAGCCCAGAGCCCTCTGCCGCAGCCTTTAGGAAAAGGGGCCTGAACTCCCAGCCAGCCTGGAGCTGCAGGGCTGGCGCAGGGCAGCCCCACGAGCGACAGCGCAGCCAGGGGTAGGGCAGGTGCACGTCCCAGAGGCGCAGCGTCACTAGCCCCGGCCTCCCGCCGAGCGTGCCCCAAAGCCCTGTCCCCCACCACAGCCCAGCCCAGAGCCCTCTGCCGCAGCCTTTAGGAAAAGGGGCCTGAACTCCCAGCCAGCCTGGAGCTGCAGGGCTGGCGCAGGGCAGCCCCACGAGCGACAGCGCAGCCAGGGGTAGGGCAGGTGCACGTCCCAGAGGCGCAGCGTCACTAGCCCCGGCCTCCCGCCGAGCGTGCCCCAAAGCCCTGTCCCCCACCACAGCACACCCTAGCTCAGCCAAGGCCGCCCGCAGCACTGGGGGCGCTGCCAGACCAACGAGGACAGGTCCTGCGGGGCAGGCGTATGGCTGAGCACGGTGGCAGGGAGCTTGGCGTGGACTCAGTGGCAGAGTAACACAGGGGTCCAGGAGACCCCTCCCCCCTGGCCGAGTCCCTTGGTCTGTTGGCTCCTGCCAGCTGACTCTCAGGTTTCCAAGTGTCTGGCTGGTGCAGGGCATGGAAAGGGACCATCCTGACCAGAACAGCCATCACACCAGGCTAGGGTAGGAGCCCACTAGGGAGCCTAGGCCTGCGGGGAGGGGCCCTGGCCACTCCAGCTGCCTCAGCTGTATGGGACTAGGCTAAAGAACAGACAGTGAGTCCACAGCTCCCTGAGCAGCTTGTCTCAGGCTGGCACTAGCATCTGGCCAGAGCAGGCACCATGGGAGGGAGCTGCTGGGTCGCCGAAGGGCTTTGTGCACCAGTAAACCAGCATCCGCCTAGGCCCCCGGCCGGGGCTGCGAGCCGAGCCCAGGCGGGCAGGAGGGAACGAGGGCCCAGGGCAGAGCCAGAGGCAGAAGGAAAAAAGAAAACGCCCTGGAGGGACCTTGCTGCCCCCCCACCCGGGGGAGAGGGGCGCTCCAAGGTAGTGTCTGGCCCTCACAGCGGCTCCCAGGGCTGCGGCCGGGGAGAGGCAGATGGCAGGGCCAGGCGAGCAGACGATGCAGCCCCTGGGGGCCAGGGCGGCAGGGAGCGAAGCCCCAAGCGGCTGCAGGGGGGCTGGGGGAGAGGCGGCGCACCCGGACGGAACAAGGAGGCCAGGCGGGGTCAGTGACAAGGTCTGTAGTTAGGGGCGGAGGCAGGTGAGCGACAGAGCAGGGCGGTGCGGGCTCTAGGACAGGCCCCTGTAGGCATCCAGGTTGAAGGCGGTGTCCAGAAAGCGCTGGAGCTCTGTCAGGTGGGTCTTCTTGTTGCCGGTGGCGGGGGCAGCGGCGGGGTCACGGCCGGCGTACCTGCAGCAAGGAGGGGACAGCAGCTCAGGGCGGGCGGCCAAGACCTAGCAGCTGGTGTGGGAAGAATGGTGGAACCCGCGCAGACCCCTCCCGCCTGCACCTGCCAACGCTCCTGCCCTGAAGCACGCCCCCAGGCCCCATGCCCAGCCGCCCCGTTGCACACGGACATCCACGAGCCCCGCCCAGTGCCATGGGACAGCTCCACCTGGCACAGCCCCCGGGCACCACGCCACGCTGGGCCCCGGTCCTCACCACACGGGCTTGGCGCGGTCGATGGTCGTGCGGAGCCGGGGTTTCACGTAGTCGTAGTAGCCCTGATTCTTGTGCTCCTCCTGGCACCAGACCAGCTCGGCGTTGGGGTACTTCAGTGCTTCCCGCTGGAGGAGGTCGAAGGGGAACGGAGACAGCTGCAGAGACACAGCGAGGGCTCAGCTCCAGGGGGCGTGTGCGCAGGCAGCGCGTCCTCCAAGGGCCCACGCTGGCTGGGGAACAGCAGCCCCGGTGCCGCAGTTATCCTCGCCCAGATCGCATGGCACCGTGGGTCACCCGCCCCCCCCCCACAAAGGGGCTCTGCCCTGCACACACCTCCGGCTGGAGACAGGCCTGCGTGGGGCCCAGGTATCATGGACCAAACTCCCGGGGAGGCAGAGGAGCCGGGACTGGGATGCTGGAGTCCCTGGGACAGGTATGCAGCCCCCACACCCTCACCTGCTCCACCCTGGTGATGGCCACGTGCTGCTCCATGTCCCGGGCCTTGCGCTCGCGGGTCAGCTCGTAGTACACTTTGCCAGTGCAGAAGAGCACCCTCCTGACGCCGGCGGGGTCCTGGGCTGCCGGGCCGCTCTCGGGGATCACACGCAGGAAGTTGGTCCCTGTGGCAGAGCAGACAGTGGTGGGGGATGCGTCGGGGAAGGGAAGCTAGTGGGGCCAGCTGCCGGCCTGGACTCAGCCTGGCGACGCCCACACAAGGAGCGAACTGGCTCAGGCAGGCCCAGAGACAAGCCCCCTGCCACATGCTGGCCTGGCAACTCTGTGCAGGAGCCTGGGAGACAGGGGCCTCCGCTGCCCTCTCGTGGCCAGAGCCCGGTTCTGCTCCCCTCCAGCACACCGACACCCCCTGCCTACCTGGCAGCATCTCGTCGAAGCTGGACCGGGCTTCGGGGTGGCGCAGCAGTGACTTTGGAGTGAAGATTATCAGCTGGAAGAGCAAGGCAAGGCCCATGAGGGGGCTAGATGCACGAGCTGCAAACCAGCCCCTTCTCCCCCGCCACTGCCTCCCACCTTGCCCCAATTCTGGCACGGGGGACACCGAGTCCAGGCAGGGACCAGAGAAACGTCTCTATCCCCCGCTGGCTGCCGGGGTAGCCCGAAGCCAAAGGCTGCTACTGGATGGGGGCAGCATGAAGTGGCGGGCAGCTCTCCGGCCCAGCTCGTTAGCCCTTGGGGCAGCCTGCAGGCCGCTTGCACATGCCGCTACCGAAATAGAAGCAGCACCTCCGGTCTGGCCAGAGCTCCCGAGCCTTGGCGGACGTAGCTAGCGTGCTCAGTAGCATCCACCTCCCGTGACTGGCTGCACAGCTCAGCTCGCGCTCGCTGCCTGGCCTTCAACAGGGCTTCCCCATTTGCTCCCGGCTCGGAATGGCTGCTCCCGGGGTGACAGACCTTTGCCAGGTACCGGGGAGAACACCCAGCTGGCAGAAAGCTGGGTCCCCCTCTTCCAAAGAGGGGGCATGAGAAAGTATTTTAACCCTGAAATGCCCCACGGGAGTCGTCCTCCCCCTCCCGTTCTTTTCCACAGGCTGGGCTCCCTGGCAGGACTGCACGGCCCAGGATGCATCAGTCACAGCTCTTGGGGAGGCGGGGCGATGGCTGTCACGTGACGCCATGCGTCATGGGAAATGCTCTGGCTGGGGAACCCACCACAGGAAAGGGCGTGAAGCCGAATGGGAGTTTTTTGCAGCTCGGGGTCTTTTGGACGAAAAGCCTGCTGAAAAAGAGTTTGTGGAACCCGAGTAGCCCCCGGCCGGCTTGAGAAGTCGGCTACAAATCCGGGTCCTCAGCCCACACCAAGACAACAGGGAGTGGCCCGGTCCCCCCGGCCCCAGCCTCTAGAACAGCGGCGCTTGGCTGGGGGCTGGCACTAGGGCCGAGCCAAAGCCCCCTCGCATGGGGCCAAAGCCTAGGACCCGGAGCCCTGCCACTTGGCTCTGAGCAGCTTGGCCTGGGGCCCCCAGGAATTGTCCCTCGTGGTGCCCACCCTGGCTTGGGCCCCAGCAGGCTGGATCCTGCCTCGGGCTCACTGACCGGTTTGCGGAAGGGCAGGAGGATCTGCCTGCGCAGCACGTGGAAGAAGTTGGCGGGAGTGGAGCAGTTCACGACGATCCAGTTGCAGTCGTACAGCTGGCGCACGTCGAAGTCATCGAGTTTCTGCAGCGTAGGAGAAACACGGCTCAGACAAGCA